CTTGATTTTTCAAGTCCCCAATTAATGTTCGTGTTAAAATTCAATTCGTTTTAAAATTGAACAAGTCGTATTTACAATAAAGTACTTCTTTACTCATTGAGAGGAAAAATGTATTTCATACACACTTGGTGTGTAAATAAAATCACTTAAATCTAGACTAGATTACTTACCTGATCGTCTTATTGTGTGCAACACTGTGTATTTCTTAAAGTTTCGTTAAAATGTTTATTGATTTCGTTCAGATTAGTTCAGTGTGTCCAGTTCAACGTAATTAAACTTGGCATTTGGATTTTTCTCATTCAAACACGATAAACACGGGCAACGTCTCTTATCTCGTTAAGATCATTTCAAAGTACGGTTTTGTTCACAATATATTTACTCTCAGAATGCGTTTCGTTTTCGCATCAAACGCACATTTCCATCAATCACACAACAAATTATTCGCAATTTGAATTTTCTGAATAATTTTTAAAACACAAAAGTTACTTTGATTGATTTATACAAGTTCAAAATTGTTTATTTCACCATTTGTTTTTTCTTTAATGTCATTTATTACATGTTTTTTTCTCTAACGTGTCTTTGATAGCGTTCTATTTGAAAGTCATAAACCGGTGTGCGGTTCTTTGCTAGCGTTCGTCTCTTATGAGGTTTATTGCGAATATGCGTGCGGTAAGTCTTTTTCCTTTTCGTTCAAATGTTTTCGTGCCGCCACTGACGAAATACGTTACGTTAAGTGCAATTTTATTTTTTTAAATACAAACGTGCAATTTTTTAATACAAAAAGCTTTTTAAAATATTTTAACAGAAAAAAAGCCACCTCAAAAAATGGATACAAAAAATTATGATTTTCTGGATTGAATGATGTCTTTAACAAGTGTCTGATTTATTTGAAAGTCTTTACTTGAATTTTTTTTTGTTTAGTCCCGGTTTGAATTGGTTTAAATGTGATTTCAGTGTTTTTGATAAATAAAATAGTATAGCATATGGATTTTATTGGTCATTGAATAAAATCAAAGTGAGACTGTTTGTTAATCACACATTAAAGTGACTTTTATCAAAATGTGTTAAACATAGAATTGAAAAAAAAAAAATTTCTTTTCGATTTTTCGATCGTCCGATGAAAATTTTCCAGAGAGTATTTTCGATTGAATTTGTCAATTTGTTTATGTTCTTCTTTGAATTTGTAACTGTTTCGTGTTGAATGCTTTTGTGAATTTTTGCCAACGGAAAAAATGTGCAATAAAATATTCTCAACGTGATTATATTGATGCGTCTGTTCACGTTCGATCTTCGCGTAATACTGAGGTTCGAGCACCTATCGTTGAAATGCACTGTACAGAAGACGTCATGTGCGATCCGATTTATATTTGCCATCGGTATTATTTTTTTTTCCAACGGCTGTTGCTTTTTCAAGTATATGCACATTGTGTATGCCTCAGCCAATGATGCTGCTGTTGTCGTAACTCACAGCTACTATGTGGCACAAAGTAGGAAAATATTGTATCAAATGTTCGGTTTCACTCTTTCTTGTGCCAGTACCGTTTCCATTCAGTCTGTCTCTATCCTTACCCTTGCATTGTATGCGTGCCACGGTGAATGGATTGTGCCCCGTAAACCTTTGCCGATGCATGTAGTGAAAAGCTCCATCGAATCATTTCTATTGAATATACATATTCGTTTGTATTTGAGTCTATAGCGATGAATTCACACAACATTTAAACAAGTCAATAACAGAGATACTGGCTTTTCTTTGGAAACGATGTCTTTCACATTGAATCTTGTTCGGCCGCTCTCCCTCGCTCTCTCTCTCTCTCTCTCTCTTTCTCTAGATCTCATTGTGTGTTATATTGCTGTTTTTCTGGCCGAAAAGATTTATGTTTTCAATTTCAATAAACATGTTTGACTGAACTAGTTGTTTTGATTCAAGCCTAATGTATGGACAGTGTAGAAAAGTGAAAAAAAACAACACACCAAATGAACAAAAAGCATCATTGAGTGTGACATGTTGCCGACGATTCGTCTAATTTGGTTGTTGGCGTTATACACACACCGTTTGAGTTCATGTAGAAATTTAGATGAATCAATCGGTTGTCTTTCCGCATTCCATCGTTGGCGTTCCACCGAAATGAACTCAAAAATTGTCCCCTTTTCCAATTCATTTCGTTGTGTGCACCGCATTTCCGTGCATGTATATGAGCTTGTGTGAATTTTAGTAGCGAAGTGCATTTCCCGACTAGGGTGTCCTCTCAACATTCCATTTTAAATCGGTGGATGAGACTTTGAACACTGCACAATTTTAGACACGATAGATACTTGCTCTTTTCCGTATTCGAATGCCTATTTGCCAAGATTAAAAACAAATCATTGCATTTAATGATGTACTAGATTCCATGGATTATCGCAATACATTATTCATGCGTTAAATGTCATTTCATGAGAGTAAGATAAGCTTCGTACATCTTCAATTTGTCTGACTCAGGCAATTCCGTGGATTATTATCGGAATCAAAATATATATATATCGTTTTTTTAAATCGTCGCTGTCTTTGATGTATATACATAAACATAAGAGAAATCAATCATTTTTAACACTGAATTTTGATTCGATAGCAATCAATTGTTTTCTTGGGGGGGGAAGTTATTCGTTCCTTTTGCTGTGTGGTCAAAAATGAATAAATTCGTTCGAAGTAACGGTAAATTGATAGAGTTCAAACTTTTGGAAGATCAACGGCGGAGACGTGTTTCCAGGCTAGATGGAGACAAAAATGCAAACACACACACACACTCATACATACAAGTCCATTGTATACAACAGTGAGAATTGTGCATTCCCGATACATTCCCGAAAACCACCACACATCACCATTCGAATGCAACCAATGAGCAATGAGAGAGAGGGCATCCACCAAAGACCTGCGCAACAACTTATTACTTGCTATAGGTTCTCACATGTTGTGATTCAAATAAAATATGAAACGAAAATTGCAATTTCAGTCATTCGAATCGAGTGTTTTATCAATGTTGTTCGTTACGATTTTGTTTAGCTCCCATAAAATTTACGAGCGTTTATTTATCGCTGTTGAAAATATGAGATGCCACTATGGAAATATATAATTAGCGATGTTAAGCGTTGAAAGGGCTTACAAAAAATGCCACATTCATGCCATGTACTTTTTGAAAATTAAAACTTTTGTGAATTTTTGTTATCTATTTTCATTTTTATCAATTTTCAAACTAAAATAAATGAAAAAGCACGAAGTGAAATTTATTCACTATTTTTATCCTCTTTCTCCCTCTTTCTACATTCGGATTTCTTTTGCCTTTCGTATTTATGGCTGCAATCGTTTCTGAAAAGCAATTCAAAACTTTGGTGAAATTCATGACAGAAAGAGAGAGAAAAAAAAATTGTCGGCGCCAAGTTATGACTGTTGCCGGAGGCTTAATTTTGAACATCGAATTTCATTGAAACATAGTTACGAAGCCATGAACAGGAAAATTGGTGCATCATATTACGAAAGTACATTCATCCAGTTTAAATTTACACAAAGAATTCACTCGAATTTCGAAAATTTTAGTTTTGAATTCAAACAATAAACACGCGCCGCACATTCATATTCACAGCCAAACCAAACCGACTTGTATATTTATTGTGTTGGTTGTGAACAAGTTATTTTACCGTCATTGCCGACCAATAACACCGAAAAAAAGTGTTCATGGCAGAAATGCTAAAACAAATGGAGTGAAAGATGATGCAAACAAAGTGAGCATCGAATTGCCTACACAACTGAATTCAAGCACTCGAAATGCACTCTTGAACAACGAAAAAAAATTGTATTCAAACCAGAAACCGCTAAAAATGTGGAACCCAAAAAGAGATTGGTTGAAGAATGTTTTTGAAAATCATATTTTTAAAAGAGTTTTTACTAGGGGCTTAATACGGCAAAAAAATTCACAGGAATTCACGTAAATTCACACTTTTGAATCGAGTGTTATTGATGAGTTCGGTGAATTCGTGTGAATAGAATGAAATGTGTCAAAGTAATAAATTGAGGTTAATGATAACCGCAATATTTTTTAATTTATTATTTTTTCAATATTTCCGATTGTTTTCGATAGAAAATCGCTCAAAATTGAAAATAAAATTAATTTTTATCAAAAAAATATTAAAAACATTTACAATTTCGTTACACAAAATATAAATATTGCAGTAATTGCCAGCAGAAACTATTCACCACTATCTCACATATTTTAATGAAATCGCCGTAGAATTCACTGGAATTCATTCGTTTGCTGAAAATTCAGTTAATTTAGATATTATTATAGAATTCAGTCGTTCAAATTTTGAATTAAGCCCCTTAAGTTTTTAAGTCAGATATAACAGTCGAACACTTACTTTGTTCGACTGTTATATGTTCTTTAATCAATTATTTTAAATCATCTTGTTTGTCAACGGGTAAATTTTGCAACATTTGATGAACTGCCAAAATCTTGTGCTCTTTTTTACTCTTACCACGTCCTATTATAACGATTAATAACTTCTTCATTGTTAATAGATCTGATTAAATGTTAAAGGTTTCGGAATAAGACGATACATGACAAGTAATCGTAGATTGTCTTTCATGCAGTAAACCAACTTTGGATTGAAAAGGTCGTGACATACAAAGCTCTTGCAACCATCCAATTGGATTTTTTTCCCTCGCTGCTATTATAAAATTGTATTTTTTTTTTTCAACAACAACACCAGTTTAGTCGTGTGTTTGCGTTTTTGGAAAAAAATCCAAATTATGGACTTTTAGATTAAAATCAAGAATGTTTACCCGCTTGCAAAATCTCATTACAAAAATTCGATTTTGAAGTGAGAAATGGCCAATGTTGCCAGTACTGAGCTGTCGCAGATGAATTCATTTCCTAAAAAAATCCTCTAATAAACGACTTTCAATGAAATACATCAAGTTTACTTAATTAAATATGAAATTTTTTGTTCAATAAAAAAATCGGTAATTATCATTTGATCTTATCTTTTGTTAGACTTCTCTTTCTTTTCTAAATGTTTTATCATCGATAATGATATATTTATTTTTACGAAATCCAAATGGTTCCTTTTCTCTACTTTCAATTGAATCAACAAGTATTTTTGGATAAACGTCCGGAATTTTTTCAATGTCTGCAGCTTGAGCCACTTGATCGTAATACTCCTTGCAATCTTCTGATTCTACTCGATGAATTTCACTTTTGGGATGGCCCTTTTTCGATTGAGTTTCAGCATAATCTTGCATATCTTTTAACATTTCCAACTTTGGTGGTAGTTCTTTGGCGCCAGAAAAAAATTTCAGCGCAAACCTTGCCTGTATATAAGTTTTTACAATTGTTTTTATTAGTTATGGAATCAAAATCAATCAATTTCACATTCACCTGTAAATCATACACACGATAATAAAAGGCAAAGTCAGGCACGCCAATCAAAGCCATCGTCGGATGTTCTATATTCAGAATTTGTTTGTAAAGTGGTTGCACGTAATTCTCATCAACATAAATGCCCGCGTCAGAGTCCAAAAACGGATAGGAGTAATTAAAGCCTGTAAAACAGAAGAGACCCAATGACAACTCTTAAAATTAAAGTGTACAACACTATTTCGCCCTAAAATATATTTATTTTCTCATTGAGGTGAATTCTACATCAGCCATTGAAGGCCTATACCAAAAATTTACCTGAAAAGTACTAAACATAGTGAATTATTCTTTAAATCAAGCTACCTGTTACACATATAACCACAGTAAAGTTTCGATATGTCCCGTCCATAAACTCAGCTCCATTTTTTATTAAGTGTTTCACATTATTTGTAAATGTAACATTTTGTCCATATACTTTTCGTGCTTCTGCTGTTGGTTCCTCAAATTCCGGATTGCTCCACGTTACATAATTGGCAGTTTTTGAAACTTGAAGTACAATTTCTGGAGCGCTCGCACCATTGCCAAATACTAGAACATCAGCTCCTATTTGATAAAAACCATATTAACAGATAATATATTTAGCTGCCGTCATCTGGATATTTGAACTCATCTGGATATCGTCAGCAGATGATGCGAATTGAAAACAATAGAAGTGATTGTTATAGTAATACCAGTATATAACAAGCTTATATACCTACAACAATCGCTTCTATTGTTTTCACTTCGTATCATCTGCTGACGGCATCCAGATGAGATGAAATATCCAGATGACGGCAGCTGAATATATTGTCTGCATATTAATCAAATAATAAAAACCTTTTGTGTTGATGTGATCGTATCAGACTAATTACAATTAAAACAATCTATTGAAATTTAAACGGAGAAACATCTTATCTCTATTACAAACCACGAAATTGTTCAGCTCTACGGTAATCATGACTATGCATAATTTTTCCTTTGAATTGATCGGCGCCTTCAATTTGTGGATAGTTCGGCGAAGAAAGTCGATTTATACAAACAAAAACAGCATCATAAATCACAGACTCGATCTTGTTGTTTGGCAAATCCAGAACAGTTATGTTCCATTTATTGTTTTCAATTGAATGAACATTCTCGACCAAATGATGAAGTTTCACGTGTTTTTTCAAATCGAAACGATCAGCGTAAGTATTCAAATACTGCCAAACATTTTCATGTGATAGATATGATGGAGTACCATTTGGATACTTATGCAACGGAAGTTCCATTGTTTGATGAGGTATATTTGTTCTGTTTGATGGTGACGAATAATCAATATTTTGAAGAAATAGGTACCACAATTAACACGTACCTCACTTTATAATACATTGCACTATGAATAAAAACACCGTACTCATCTGTTCCGGTTTTATCTGTGTACCACCATGTTCCACCAATTGCCTCTCCTTTGTCATAGATCACTACATTATGACCTTGTTCGAGGGCGTTTTTTGCACTACTTAAACCTGCCGGACCAGCTCCAATGACGGCTATATTCAAAACTTTGGGAGTTGAAGCTGATCCAAATATGCTCACGCTTAGTATTCCAAAAAGTAATAAAATTGTCAATGCAACCACAATAATAATTATACATCTAAGCATCGCACGCATTTTGCTTATGTATTACACTAATAAATAATTAAGGGAATAATGAATGAAACACCAAATCACTAATCACTTTTTACTCTGTTTTAAGTTTTGTTAGAATTTTTGTACGCCCATATAAATGTGTAATAATAAAAAAAAATAATTGAATTTTCTTAGCAAAACAATTCCAAGTAACACGTTATGCACTGAATGATGTTACAACGTGATATGGTATTGAAACTCAGTTGAAAATAGTTACAATCGACGTATTAAAAAAGATAAGGAGCCACGCGTTCAGCGATCGAATATTTAACAGAGTTCTCAACGTTGTGGTCCGAGTCCGTCCGTATGCCGACAATTGTCTACTCGAATCCGAAAGACTACTGATTTTTGCGGTCGGAATCGGTCGGGACTTCGGAACTTTTTCGGGTGTCTCAGCTCAAAGAAATTAAAATTAAAACGAGTTTAAATGAATACATTCAAACACCGCATATGTCAATCGATTTCATTTCTAACGTCACATCACGGATGTCAAACACACATGACGCAATTAAGTCATCCACTGAACGATTGAGAGAAGGAGAAGAGAAAGAAGTAAAAATATAAAAAAAATATTATTCACACCGTGAATAGATTACAACAACAAGCTAGAGTCGTGAATGTAGTGGCCTTGACTTTCGATTTCAAACGAATTAATCTAAGCTCGAATTGACGGTTATTTACTTATTATTACCAACACCACCTGATAAAATATCTGTTATTAATCAATGTACTGTATTTCGGGATTTTTTATTTTCAACTTGACAAACATTTAATTGTCTTTCCAACATTCAAGTAATATAGATATTATACTAGATAAAATTGTTTACATTGTACAAGAGACGAGCATGGTGATGTAGTTGTAGACTGAAAGTGGTTCAGCAGTATTTGTAAATGGTCAAAAGAATTGGTTTTTTGTTTGTATTTCAGATGTAATTAGAATGGTACCATATTTGGGCACGGTCAAAAATTATGATGGGAGGTCTATACTCCAATTAAAAATCCATAGCAAAGCGAAAGAATTTCTCTCTTGTCCAATTTTTTTTTTAACAAATCGAAGGAATACTCGGCTGCTACCGCTCGAACGATTTTGGGAGGGAGAGAGTTAGGTGGTACCCCATCCCTGCTCCCATGTATGATGATAACACCCCACGTCTCATTGTTATGCAAGACTTGTGAAGCTGATCACAAGTGTTTACATTTCTATAGCACGGAAACTGGGCCGAAAATACTCATACACACATACAAAGAGAGATTGAGACCGAGATAGAAGAAGTAAAGAGCAGAAAAATCGTTTTACATTTATGTAGTGTTTGTCGTAAACCAGATACGTGATGACTTTCTTCGGAGACTTTTACCTGTATTCGTGTGTTCACATCTGTATGGTACACATTTTTTTTCATCCTTCGTATGCAGCAACTACGACACTGACAGCGTGTCCGTTATTTTCAAACTTAATTTTGCATACTTTGTAATTAAGTGTGAAATGGTGCATTTCATCGAAAGTATTTCGGAGCCATCGAAACAATATGCACGTGTTTCACGCTTTTTTTTCCACCATATAGATTAAACAAAATAATGTAACGAGAGATAGCCAGAGAGAGAGAGAGAGAGAGAGAGAGAGAGAGAGAGAGAGAGAGAGAAAGTGAGAGAGGGAGAGTTATTGTCCGGGTAAATTGGAAGCCGTTTCATCTGGATTATAAATACTTATTTATTTCGAATTAATCGAATTTCGTTGGGCTCGCGGGTACGAAACTATTTACATTGAGTTTTTTTTTACAAAAAAGTTGCACTATAAAAATGGCACACAGTCGAATCAATGTTGGCGGCTGAAAATTGAGATAGAGCATGCCGAGTGCAAAACAGATAGAGGGACATAAAGCAGAACGGAGAAGAAAATGTGTAGCTACAAATTCACATCTCCATTCGGATAATCCAATAATTACTAGTGGATTGTTTTTTTTTTCTCTCTCTCTTTGGTTCGTTCGGTTGAAAAATTGCATTGTATACGTGGTATATTTCTTTAAGCATACAAATGGAGTCGTTTACTCCCATGTGAATCGTTTTTTGCTCATCAATTTAACGCAAATGTACAAATGCTGGATTCACACAGGTAGGTTAAGAAATCTATATTTTAACCCAGTACTTAGTTCAATTCGACGAAATACAATGCACATCGCCGCTTCGTTTAATTATTGTATATAGTAGCATTTGGATGAACTTGATTCTATGTTTATCTTTAGTTTTTATTATAATTGGAACAAAGTAATGGTACAATTTTTTATAAAAATCAACATCATCACTTTGAAATATTAAATCGATTTGATTTTATTATTATATTAAGCTGTGTACAATTTTTATCGAAATATTACATCGAATTCCAATGGAATGTGTAAACATTTTGTTCGACACTGTTTTTTTCTCTCTCTCTCGCAGTCAGTCTATTCGTTTATAGTTTGATAACAAATGATGTTCCGTTCGGCGAAAGCTCGGCGCTTGCTTTTTCGTTTTGTATTGTGTACGAAAACTTTTGTGGTAAGCGAAAAAGTTTTTTTTTCTAAACCATTCAAAAGTTTAAACAACTCTTTAAAAAAAAAAAAATTTGACAACCAATTTGCACCGTCTTCAACTTTAAAAAAGTTATTGAAGAGAAAACACAATAAATTTCCATGCGAATTTTTTGATTCACAATTAAAGAAAGCGGAAAAGTGCCCTCAAACATCAAACTGCAAGCGAAAAAAAAACTGTCGAATTTATATTTTGAGATGATAAATTTTTTTTGTGCCATTCTTTCTCGTCCATCGCGGCGGCCCTTCATATTTGGGAAGAGTGAAAAGATCGTAGCGAATCGAACTTTATCGGAGCTTCAAAAAAAATTACACTTTTCTCATCTATGATCAGCTTGGGTTCGAGTGTGGTGTGTTTGCGGGCGTACTTGTTCACTCGCTCCCTCTTTCTACCCTTTCCTCTCTCTCTCTCTCTCTCTCTCTCTCTCTCTCTCTCTC